AGTGCAAGAACGCTACTATGGCTGGATGTTACCTGTTACAGTTTTGTTACCCATAAAATAAGTGCTGTGGAAGCCCAGCTGTTTTACATATGCCGGCACTTCATCTGTTTATCATGTTACTTGTTTGGCGTATTTGGCAGAACACCACAGTGTGAAAGAGTGTGCCGCTGAAGTATGTTAAGCATTCAGCACGTTTTGTTGGCAGAAGTAACTAGTTAACTCTGTTTTTTTTCCCTGTAATCTCTTGGTTATTGACACCAGCAAAACATGTTCAATGCGCCTGCAGCTATTAAACGCATATGTCTTTATTACTTCGCAGTGGTGGAGCAGTGGCCCTGTTTGCACTTACAATACTTCCTCTTCCTGTTTACTGCCCCACTTTCACATGATCCTATAGATGACTAACCCGGGTCTTCTGTCCCAACAAACTCTTATTGCCCAGAGGTTGTTTAAAAAGTGTTAGCTTTGAAATAGTAACATCTTGAAAAGGGTTAAAATAATTCAGTGCGTGTGCGGCGGAAGTGAACAACCGCACCTCTACATCCAAGGCAATGGAATTCTGTCGTATGGTAGTGACTGTCTGTGAAGGAGCGTACATTCTTCAGGATACTGTTCATGGGAGTAGGAACTAGCAGGGGGACTATGGGGAAGGGGAAGTGGATTTTTTTAGCAGTTTTTCAGGCCACCGTAAGCTGAGGCTCCCAGGCGGACAATCAATGTTTTTGCTATAGTCATCACCTATGTTGAAATCAGATAAGGAAAAAACAAAGTGGCATGTGGAAGCAGCAGAATTTTATTTGCACAATTGTAATTTTTTTGTGATAGAATGATGGGTTTAGCAGCAGAGGAACATAGTTGCAATGTCACTTCCACAGATTCAGTTAGTGTGAGTTGTGCACCATATATCTAGGTATGCTTTAAATCAACCTTTGCTCAGGCAGGGCAAAGCAACAGGTTTGCTTTAAAGCCCTCCTTCCCAGCAGGACATTCTCAACTTTCCTTCACGCCCTTGTCAATCGGATGAAGAAATGGAACCCCTGTGTAAGTCTTTGTGGTTGGAGCAAACACAGCTCTTTCCCTGCCCTCCCCGCCTGTGCTAATCCCCAAGCATCAGCTCTACTCCATGAGAGCAATCGGAATGCATTAAGTGCCGCTCCATACTTAGAAGTAGTGGGTATTTTCTTTACTTCTGCAGGCTGAATGTAGCAGCAGGGTATGAAAGTAAAGTAAATTATACTGAATAAGTGAGGGCACTAAAGCAAACCCGTGGCTTTCACTACATTAGCAAAGCACATGTTTGAGGCCTTACCAATGAGTTTTTCAAGAGCATATTTTGCATTTATCATTGATGGACAGGTAGATAACATGTTTAATTCTTTCTCTCATTTCAGGTATATTGGAGATAACATCTGTGGATGTAGGGGTTGTGGCAGTGAAATCCATTAACAGCAATTATTATTTAGCCATGAACAGAAGAGGCAAAGTCTATGGCTCTGTAAGTAACTATCATTTATTTATATGCTAATTCCAGCTAAATGTGCATGTCTTTTAGTTTTGGAAGGGTTAATAAAGGGGTAGAACATCTGTCTTTCCAGGAGAGAAAGTAAAGTGAAATTGGACTTCTGGCGGTTGTCTCTGGGACAGGAGTGAAGGGAAATAGTTCAATAGGGGGATCTGTCCGGGGAAAGCTGTTAAGAGGATTTCCCCTCACTGTCTCAAAGAAAGGAAATTAGGTGAAATCACCGCATTTGGAACACGTACAGCATACAGCATACATAAAAACCTAACAGTTGTCGTCCTAACCTTTACCTAAAACAGTTTTGTTTGGAGCTCCAGATTCTTATTCGATGATGTAAGAACATGTGATGATGATTTATGATCACTTTAGAGGTGCTTGCTGCACCAGCATAAGATAAACCTCTCATCAATACACATATATACTACACATATTTTTGCTAAGGTACTAGATTGGGTGGCAATCTTCTAAATCCCCCTGACCCTGATGGCCAACACTTCTTGGAAGGAGAAGAGACTGAATATGTTAAAAAAAACCTTGTTGTTCCCTCAGAATAAAGTGGAACCAGCGGTATATACAGTGTACCTCTCCCAATCCTCTCTATCTGCACAACCAGAAACATTCAAGCAAGCAAAATGTTTTTGTTTAGGGCCCCACTTGCAGATGGAGGTGGCTGAGAGCAGCTGGATCTAGTCTGCACAGTCAACCAACCTCTAGTGTCTAAAATATTCTGGTATCCTTGTTGATACTCCTAGCCCCCATTTTCTTTAAGGCAATGTTCACACAGATGCTGTACAAACAGCAGCCAGTTCTGCATTATTGGGAGGCAGCATTGTACATTAATTCAGAATGCTTAGCACAAAGGGCTGCAAGTGAATCGATAGTAATACATTTCTAGATACCAAATGTCCTTTAAAACCTCACGCATCAACAGGTAAATTTGTGAACTGAGCCATTTAGTTCAATAACCTCTAACAGACTCTGTAATCGGGGGGCAAATTTGTGTGGGTCAGAACCACATTCCAATCCTCCCCTTTACACACTTATCTGAGAAGGACAAAGAGCAAAGAGTAAGTACATCTAGAAAAATACCAAGGGTGCTTTTCTTTACACAATAAAACTTCAGCCCGCTTGTCCTCCCCATTGTGTTTAAATGTCAAGTCCCCCATCACTGCAGTTTGCATTTTGTGCACTTTGGAAATGTTGCTTCTAGAGCATGGATGGGTTCTAACCCCTCATTTTTTCTATACTAAAAAATAAAAAGTTACGGTTTTACATACACTTTTTTTTATTATTATCACAAAGCTAATGCAGCATATATCATTCTGGGTTCTTTGTTATATTGTGGTATTATTATATTATATTATTATATTTCCATACTGTGATAATTGGCTTCAAATGGTAGCACATTAAGGACAGTTCCACTCGCTTTTTAAGGGCTTCTATGCCCACTTTTAGTGACTCAAAAACGTCCACACAGGTTTTCCCTCGCAGGGGTTTTCAAACACAAATTTCAGCTTTTTCCTTCAGCAAAATTACATTTTCAAAGTCTTACTGACTTCAGGTGGTCTCATTAACAAAAGCCTTTCCCACACAGGTTGTATCCAACACGCTTGCCACACAGACTGTTTCTTGTCCCCTTGCAACACAGGCTAGTCTTTTGCCACACAAGCTGCTTTTCACCACACACGTGATCCGCTCCCTAGTCGGCCAGACACAGACACTGGTTCCAGGGTGGAGCTGTTTCCTTAGGAGGCTGGGAGTTCTTGTAAAGGCCCTAACAAGCTAGCTAGCTTTAGATGGGCTTATTACCTCTAAGCCTCCAGCCCTCTCAGCACTTCCCTCTAGAGGAAAAACTTCAGTATTACACTTAACCCCAGACATTTTTATCTGCCTGCTGCCACAATACAAAAAAAAGATGGTTTGTGTTTGTAACGAAAAATACTTGTAATTCCACTGCATACATATCTGTTTTTTTCATTATGCTCTATTTCTTTTATATTTACAGAAGGAATTTAATATTGACTGTAAACTAAAAGAGAGGATAGAGGAGAATGGTTATAATACCTATGCATCTCTCACCTGGAAGAACAATGAGAGACAAATGTTTGTGGCACTAAACGGCAAAGGAACCACAAAAAGAGGACCAAAAACGAGAAGGAAAAGCACTAATGCTCACTTTCTTCCTATTCCTCTATAGCTTCACATGAAGGATTTGCTAAAAATGGACTAAAGACTTATGGAGAACATTCTAAAGGGCTTCAACACCTCGACAAGAAGATGAAAACCTGTTGAGGAGTTCACAAGCGTGCTAAGGCTTCCAAAGGCCGTTTTTGCTAGTGCTGGGTTCCTGGGACCGGCCAGATCGGATAAAATAAAAGCTAGCGCCCGTTTGAAGAATGTTATTTGTTGTGTGTACAATGCTGTTTAAAGGACGTGAGACAATCACGCAGATGATCTTCTGGGAAAGTTATTTATGGAATACAAACTTAAATCAAAGATCTGCTTTGCTTATTCAGACCCAGCAATCCAGCGAGCAGACAGACACGCAAAGCATTTGCTGAAAGTACTTGGGTCAAATTGACAACAATGATAGATATTTTTTTGAAGAGACATCCACAAGAATGTATGGGATTAAGATGTGTAAACACGTGCAAACTGTTCTAACAAAACGAATAATGTGGTATTCCCATGTATTCTATGTACTGCGTCCCAACCCCCACCCCACTACCTTTGTGTTCCTTTGTAAGTTATTTATTTAATAGAATGTTTAATATGTGTCTTCAGTGTTTAAGCTGAGTGTCTGCATTTGTGCATCTGTTTTTTTTTCCATTATCCTAGACAAATCGTTCTTTCTGCTTTAACATCCTAAGAAGACGTTTATGTGAAAATTAGGAGAACGCTTTTTATTGGTCAGTCAAGGTGTTATAGAACTCCAATCAAAAAACAAAAAACTCTTAATGGCACACAAAGTTTATATATTTTTTTTTTACAGTACTCTTTTGATTGTATTTTTACTCCTTGTTCTATATGGCTGCTTTATCCAGAAGACTAGGACACAGTGATCCAAGCCTTCAGTTTTTTCCTTGACAAGCCCCCACCCTGCCACCCAAAACATTCCTAAACTCTGTGTGCTGCCTACATACCTGCCTCAGTCGCTCCCAGTGCATGAAACATGAGAGCTGCAGATAGTATAAACTGTAGAGAGGGGTTTATGGCCATCATTATGCGCTGCCCATTCTATTATCAGCTGCTAGTCTATGCACTACTTGTGCCACCCTGATTTATCAGCTGTAGTGCAATTTTCCATGGTAAATATAGAGAAAGATTACAGGTAATAGTACCATTTAAAGAAAGCTGGTGGTTTCCGTTAATCAATGTAGACTCAACTGAGGCCTGGAGCTCTTCTTTGTGTCAAAATCGTGTTAGTCTTATACAGTTCTAAATAAGAAAAGAGACAATTCACGTTATTGCCTTAAAATAGAAAAAAAAATACAGAAACACATTAGTAACGACCACTAAGGAAAAAAGAAAAAAATACTTTTGTCCTCATGGGCTGGGCAATATTTTTGTCCTCATGGGCAGCACAAAGGAGCCTGTAGATTGCTGAGGTTTTACATTTAACCAGAGATTTCACTCATATGTTCCCATTTTTTAATGTCCTGGTCTCATACCTTTTTTTTCCTGCCAATATCAGTAATGAATTGTAACAATCACAGAAGAGATCAGGTGGAGGCTGCAACTGGAAGTAGTTAACTCCTCCAGGATCAGATTGCATGCAGCCTGTCCATTCTGATTGTAGCTTTCCTCTGACAAACTCCTGTAAAGGCAAAATGCTGTAAAGAATGTTTGTCAAAGTCTTAAAAGGACAACATTTAAATTGCCCAAATAAGGATAAATACATATTTTCCCTTTTTGAAGTTAAAACAACCTGTAACAATTATTGCTAAGGTTTAGAAATCCTCCTGACAACCCTGACTGGGAGCCTACTAAAATATGCCGACAAAGATGACAACTGGCACCTAACTTTTTATATTTTTTAGTATTTCTTTTTTTAAACATCTGTTATTTGGCTCCTTAAATGTGTCTGCTGGATTTTTAATTACTTTTCAGTTTTTCCACCCTCTGGTTAATAGCTTGGGCTCATAAGGCCCCTAAAAGATGGGACCGGCTGGGCCATATTAATTAAGCGGCATGTTGGCTGATGGCTCCAAGTTAAGAGCTCTTGAGATATGGGACATGGCATACATCGATTACAATGGATCTGGTGGTGTTGCTTTTTCCGTCATCACCCTTATCAGCCACAGTTGCCACAAGTGGTATCACAGTGACATCAGGCATTACGATTAGTGGATGTTTTTGCAGAAAGTCCATGTGACATGGCTTCTAATATGCCCGTGCGCAAGCAATTGGTCACCGTTGTAGCAGCTATCTCTGTTTGTAGATGGTTGATCACATTCTCTTGTGGCATGAATTATAACAAAATCATATATACCGCTTTTTATTATAGTACAGTATGTACCTCTTTTAGATTGTATAAACAAATTGTCTCAAGTGTAGAGATGCAATGTTACAGGTATTTATTATTACAATATATAACGCCTGCTTAAAAATGCAATTGACACTTTCTGAGTACGTATATTGAAGATTTACCTGTAATTTTCAATCTCAGTAGAACATCCGAGGGCTCCTCTGTATCAAGATAAAGTCATGGATTCTAGGCTATTAAAAAACAAACACAAATGATATACAGGGAGAAAAAAGTTAAAGTGAAAAATTAAATAAAACATATACTTATGTATTTCTCCCAGTTATTGCATAGCATTTATCTTGCTACAGAGTACTTGTATATTTCCTACAGCTAAAAAAAAAGTTTAATATGAAATTTGCAAATAGTTATCCCATCCACTAGAAAAGACTTCCATGCTAAAGAGGGTTTAAAGAAGAACTTTAACATTTTTATTAACCCTTGCAGTGGGGCTACCCAACACTGCACGGATTAACTGCTCTTTTTGTCTAGGTGCTAAAACAAAAAGTTATACTCACCCGAACTGCTGAGCCAACTCCCTGCTTCTCTGGCCTCTGAAGCCTGTCTTATCCTTTGGTGCACAGATGGAAAGTTCCTCAGTGTCCTTACATCTTATACACTTGATGACACAAGGATTCTTGGACCGCTCCAGAGGAGGGGTAGAGAGGCTCTAGGGACCTGTCTATGAACAAGCTCACTGGAATGATCAGGCGAGTATAACTTTTTGTTTAGCACCTTGACAAAAACAAGCCGTGAAAGGAGAACTATGGGGCAACGTTTTTTTTCCATAGTTCTCCTCAGAGTCACGGGAGGACATATACTGTGTTCTCCCAAGCCCCAAAACTCAGCATGTAGTGGGCTATAATTCACTCACCCCATAGTTCTCCTTTAACCCTTACAATGGGACTTTTGCCCAGAATTCTTCTTTAAAGCTTGCTGTGCATCGTTTTGGCATGTTTTAAAAGAATGTTAGAGCTCGGTTTCCTTAACTCGAATCTGTAGTACAATTTACAAACGTCAAAAAAAGATGAAGAGCAATAAAAAAATTACAATTATAATATTTCTCAGAACACAATCTGTTTCTTTTTTTATTTAAAAAAAATCAATTTTCTAGTAGGGATAATAATAATAATAATAAAAAAATAGCAATAATAATAATAATAGTTCTTTACAATTATTTATGCAGTCTTACAGTGTTTTTAAATGGGGAATACCACTTAGTTCATTTTTCAAAATCAATGGGAAATCCAGTAGGAAATGCAACTAAATATGTTACTGAAAGACCATGAGAGCACCCTGTGTGTTTCTACAGAGATTTTGCCTGTTAAAAATGAAAGCCTTAGAAACCACTTTGCATTGGTGTAACTGTTCAGGCTTGGAAAATATATTTTTTTTAAATAAAGGGCTAGAAAAATACAAAATGTAATGCCTTCAGTATAATAACATTTACTTAAAAATCTTTCACTGTCTCAGGTACGGTTTAAAATACCTAAAGCTGAAGTTTATTCGGCATATACAGTATATTGCCTTCCCTGGTTCCTCCCCCCATGATCAACATGCTAATTATATATTTTTAAAACCTTTTTGTTTACATGACATACTGTCATCACAGGGTCTCTTACAATGCAGGCAGTTCATTGATGGTGAAAACATTACAGCACCCTGCCTCCTACTCCTCTCAAGAGCCCTCAGCTTTAATGTAAACAGTGGGCTGGCTTCTGGGAGGAGTTATGCTAATATGAAAATGCCTTGATGTCATTCTGAAGGAGTGGGCATTACTAGACAGGCTGCATCTGCATGCAGACTGCACTAGATAAAACCCATATGTGATGCTGAGCCTCAGTGGATAAAAGAACTGAGATCCAATGAATGAAAGGGTCAGGTCAGGGACACTCTTGCCTGGGAAGGAAATTATTAGATGATGCTGGACGTCCTGCAGTCACAAATGAGTTGGGCTCTGTCACAGCTTTTAATGAACATTGTGAGAAGCTCCCAGTATGCAGTGAAATCAGAGTAAGCAATTATAGTCCAGGAGAGGTTCTGGTACAACAAAACTGATGCTGAGGTCAGAGTTCAGATTTAAACTGAAATCCAGGCAGAAATGAAAAATATTTCCATCAAGTATGTGTTCACTAAATAATCACTGAGACAGCCCATTGCTTTACCATGTTTCCCCAAAAATAAGACACTGTGTTATATTTTTTTGGCTCAAAAAAACACACCGGGTCTTATTTTCGGGGTAGATCTTTTTTTTTAATGTATAACAATCCACACTTATTCATGTACAACTGTCTACATGTATTCATGTACAAAAATATGGTGATCAGGGCAATCAGGGGTGCTGTACCTTGCCAAGAACAATTTGGTAACCAATCGCTGGCCAGAATGAGCGAAGCGCACTTTCACTATCGATTCCTCACAGGCGGAGTGCATTTAGTATCACTCCGCCTGTGACAGGAGCCGGCGCTATAGAGGAGGCATCGGCTTATGCGGCTCTGCTCCCTCCGCTGCCGCCTCGCTTCCTCTAGCGCTGGCTTCGTTGGCACCGCTGATTCTCTCCCGCCTCTCCCGTGGCTCTTCAAGTTCCCCCTAGTGCCACCACCGGCCCTGGGAATGGTCACAACTAGGTCTTATATGTTAGCAATTCCCCAAAATAGTACTAGGTCTTATTTTCGGGGTAGGTCTTGTTTTCGAGGAAACACAGTAGTATGGGATGTCGGTGTATGATAACAGAAACTGGACGACCGCCAGCATTTTTTTTTAATGGCACATTGGTACTGCAATGCACAGCACTCTGTATTACATGGTAACATATACATATATACATGGTAACATATAGAGGAGAGTACAGGGACTTCTAGGCTGACTGCAGTTCAGGTTTAGATCCTGGTTATCCTGTATGGCAGGAATCACAGGACGGGACATTTACATATATTTTCATAAATATTATTAGGACTTCCACAGAAATCAGTCTGTGCTAGAAGTGTACTGGTATTTTCCGAATATATGAGAAATAACAAAAGTGTCTTCTACCGAGCTGTTGTGTCAAGTCATGCGAAAACCAAAATAAAGCGTGGTAACTCCTACCATCCAATCACATTTCAGGTCACTCCACAATCATTTGAATAGTCCTGTATTGCAGGAATCTATAGGAGGTGTTTTCTTATAGGTTGCTGTTGATTACTGCTTTTCATTATGCAGTATTTGGGGAGATGTAAAGTGAATACATTTGGGCGATACAACTATGGGATTGCATAAACAGAAACATCTTATTCAGAATGTTATGACACCTAGA